TAATGCCTAAAATTTTGTGCTCAGATTTCACTGGTAGCTTCTAACCATGCAGGTCAATTTCCGTATAGGGATGGAGGCCTCTGTTCTTGTGAATAAAACATATGTGTTTTTTTTTTATTAGGGCTGAATCCCATTTTCGTCTGCCCACTTATTCAAGCCAAGTCGGACCTGCCGGATGCACATTGCGAGCCTGCATGATTTGTAACCTATCTGCATGTCGTCAACATATGTACAATAAAACATATTGCGTGGAATGCAGGTATGCAAGGTATTCATTTTCATAGTGAAAAGTGTACAACTCAGCACTCCACTTTACGGCACACCAGCCTGCTGGACGGAAGTTCGAGACAACAGATTTCCCACTCAGACACGGAAAGTGCGATTGGACCTTTAGATTATGTTCATCGTATGACCTCTAGCACCTAAATGTGAGACGTCTCGAAAAATACCAAAGCGCCATGTGGTGCCATAGGCTTTTTTCATGTCAATAAAAACCAATAGTAAAACTTTCTTATGGCGGAAAGCGTCTCGAATCTGTGCCTTAGCACGTACCAGGTGGTCAATCGTGCATCTATTTTCTCGAAATCCCCACTGGTATGAATCAAGTAAGCTGTTAGTTTCGAGGAAGTATACAAGTTGGCAATTTATCATCTATTCAAAAATTTTGCATAGGCACCTTGTCAGTGCGACGGGCCTGTAACTCGTAACGGAGGATGAAGCCTTGCCTTCTTTCAAAATCGGCATGAAAATGGCCTCTTTAGAAGTGGAAGGAATGTCGCCAGAAAAACAAGTGGAATTGTAGAAGAAAAGTAAGGTTGCTTTCGTTTCGAGGGGTATGTAGTTACGTCAACATTTCATAGACCACACGGCCATATCTTGGAGCGGAAGTGCTGCTGCAGTTTAGAGATGCCTGTAGTTCAGCTAGGAAGAAAGAATGGTTGTATGCCTCGTATGTTGCACACTCGGTGTCTAGTTTCTGCTTCTCCACTCTTATCTTATACCATTCAAACACTTGACAGTAGAGTGACGAGCTGGAAATTTGCTCGAAGTGTGCTCCTAGGTCGTTTGTCTGCTCTTCCAAGCTGTTGCGTTGTGTGCCCACCAGAGGGAGCGAATATGATCGTTTTCCTTCTACCCGTCACACCCTGTTCCAGACCTTGTCCTCATGTATATACGAAGTCATGTCAGATAAAATGTTTTGCCAGCTTTCTCTGCTCGGTTGTATGTGCGTCCTCCTGCACTGCCATCTAGTGTTCTTTAAATTTGTGAGATTCTCAGCCGTCAGTGATTGCCACAGCAATCTACACGCTTCGTTTTGTTTTTTACGTGCTTTTCGACACTCGTCGTTTCACCAAGGGACACGTCGTCTGCCAGATATTCCACTTGTTTGTGGAATACATTTCGTGGCAACGTCAATTAAAAAGCTGTGAAGTAGCCCCCAGCCGCCACAATGTTTAACACACAAGCCAGCCCAGGTTAGGAGAGTATCTTTTCGAAACTGTTCGCAATCAGCTTTTTTCGTGGGCTATTTGGGTACCTGCGAATGACATTCATATGATGTTGGCGTAATCAAAGCTACAAAGAAGTGGTCACTTCCGTAAGGAATAATGGTGGTGTTCCATTGAAATATGCGCAGAAGCGACAGAGATGGAATGCTTAGGTCTATGGAGGAGTAGGTATTGTTAGCGATGCTGTAGTATGTAGGCTCTTTCCAATTCATAAGATAAACACCAAAAGAAAAAAAGAAACTGTTCGATTAGGCGACCTCGCCCGTCACAAAAACAAGCTCCCCATAGACTCCCCATAGACTATGAGCATTGAAGCCCCTAAGACGGTTCGGAAAGTTCATCTATCAAGTACTGAAATTCATGTTTGTGCAATTGGAGTTGTAGAGGTATGTATACAGAGCAAATGATAACGAGTTTGTTTAATAGCACCACTCAAACAGCCACTGCCTCAGAAGACGCATAGTGTTTTAAATGTTCACATGCTATCTCTCAGTTAGACATAACAGCTCTACCTCCGGATGATTCCAGAACATCATCTTAATCTTTTCTGAAAATATTGCAACTGCGTAGAAAGTTGGTGTGTTCAGATTTTCAGTGCGTTTTCTGTACACATAGCACTTTTGGTTAGTGTTTGTGTAAAAGTTATTCAACATCATCGAGGTTCCTGAGAGGGCCCCTGACGTTCCATTGTATAATTTGAGTGTTCATAATGGAAGAAAACTAGCGCTGTGTGTACGTTAAGTGAGTTGCTTGTTCAAGTTGAAAGTTTAAACTTAAGTCACAGGCCTGCCATCACGCGCTGTTATTAGATTTTTAGTTCTCTTGGCGCGCTCCAAAGAGCCGCACCACCATATTCATTGCCTTCTCGGGTGGCACTGCATGCTCGAACATGTGAGCTTGTTGTTCGAAGTTTAGGCCTCGCCTGTTGATGTGAGGCCTTGAGACCTGAAGACTCTGGAGTCTCTGGCCTCAGTTCACTAGAAGGCAAAGTAGACTCAACGGCTGCCACCCTGCGGGCAGGCGCCACAGCCGATTGCCCACTCTGCACAGGCCGAAGGAGTGGCGAGGACTGGTGCGGCACTGCCCCTTGACGCGCCGCATCAGCATATGAAGGGCCATAAAATGGCGAGACACTTTTTCTTGTTTCTTCATATGTGATGTTTTTCTTTACTTTTAATGTGATGATTTCTTTTCTTTTTTTCCAAAGTGAACAGATCGTGAGTGTGTGGCATTATTTGCACCACAGCTCGCACAGTGTGCCGCTTCCTTGCATATGTCGGACACGTGGCCCAAATTTGCCGACAACGACAGCTTCGCGAGCCATGGCCATGTCTCTGACATTGGAAGCAACGGTGGGGGCTGGGAATGTATGGCCTCACAAAAGTCTTTGTATGCCCAGTTTGAATGGTTTCCGGCAGATCGTTCGAAGCAAAGGTCAATGTGTTTAGTTTGTGTTTACTTATTTTCTTATCTATATCCGCTGTATGTTGGCCACGTTCTGACTCCAGCAACATTCCAGAAGTTAAGCTTCGGTCAGGTTAGGCAGATCTGCGTCCGATACTATATCCTCGAGCTGAGTTCATATACCTGTGCGGTATAATACTGATTGGTGCATCGCCAAAAATTGTAAGACCGTGAAGGGTTTTGAATTGGTCTTTATCTCGTATTTCAAGAAGCAGATTTTCGCTTGCCATTTCGGTAACCTTGCACCCGGCACCGAGTGTTTTGGTCAAACACCTAGGGACTACATAGGGAGATACAGTTCTGGCTTGTTTATTAGTTGTTACAATTCTCGCTGCATATAACATAGATGTGAGGAAATATTTGTCTTGCCCGGTTGAACAAATTGAAGTCTTCACTGCGTACCCGCTTTGAAAAGGCACGATGACTCAGCAAAGGAATGCTGTATGCATTGTAATTGTGTGTTGTTCAGACGCGTTGGCGGCCACACACCACGGGGCCCAACAAGGGACGCTGCAAGTTTGTGAGTGCTGGAAGCTTGCAGACGTCAGGCGTACAACGCTGCCATAACCTAATGCGTCAAGACCAAGGTAGGGTATTTGCACAGGGTTACCGTTTGCCACCAGGAAAATTTGAAGTAAACAAAAAGGAGATTTTGACCGGAAAGATAGAAAGAAGCGAGAAAGATGAACATGTAGGCAGAGAGAGATAGGAAAAGGCGACTGCCGATTTACCCTCGGTAAGTCAAACCACTGGTGTCGTCTACGTGAAGCCGAGGCCAAAATAATTTGTTGCCTCCGCCGGGGAGCCTTAAATGTCCAATCACCCGGCATTGGCTCAATCCCCAGCATCCCCTTTTTCCTGGACACGGCTCACCCACGCAAGACTAGGTATGGGAGGGAGTCAAAACTCTTCGCTAGCTCAGCCCCGTGGCGAAGCTACGCAACAAACAACTGCCCTCACAGACGCCCCTGCGGGGAGATGCCATCAACGACACGGCAAGGAAAGCTAAAAGTCATAGATAGATAGATAGATAGATAGATAGATAGATAGATAGATAGATAGATAGATAGATAGATAGATAGATAGATAGATAGATAGATAGATAGATAGATAGATAGATAGATAGATAGAATAGATAGATAGATAGATAGATAGATAGATAGATAGATAGATAGATAGATAGATAGATAGATAGATAGACAGACAGACAGACAGACAGACAGACAGACAGACAGACAGACAGACAGACAGACAGACAGACAGACAGACAGACAGATAGATAGATAGATAGATAGATAGATAGATAGATAGATAGATAGATAGATAGATAGATAGATAGATAGATAGATAGATAGATAGATAGATAGATAGATAGATAGATAGATAGATAGATAGATAGATAGATAGATAGATAGATAGATAGATAGATAGATAGATAGATAGATAGATAGATAGATAGATAGATAGATAGATAGATAGATAGATAGATAGATAGATAGATAGATAGATAAAACACCCTTTGCGTCTTAGGTTCTGTTAGCGATCATTAGCCTTTAAAATTACGAAAACACGCAGTGAATTTACTTGTAGCAGTAAAAGGCATTATTTTGTATTGCTTCATTTCGAGGCAACATTTCATTGCTGTACGGCAACCCCAACTATAAGGTATCCCAGGACACGTGCAGCCATAAATTATAGCTGATCGACGCATATGAAATAACGTAGGCGACGCCATGTTTCTGAAGCAATGGGAGATAAAATTCTATCCATAGAACAAAATATATGCCAGTTGTCAATCTCTAAAAAACTTGCACCGACTCGGCACATTCATCACATCCTCTTCAAACCACCTTCATTGGTTGGAACTTTAATGGTTCTGCTTTAATTATCTGATAGCAAGACAAGGTTCCGTCTACGTAAACATTTCTTGACAGCAGACTTTCAGCTACACTTTGGCACGTGTGCCTGAACTTCCTGTCGAAGGAGGTATTTAAAGGCTCACTGTAAACCTACTTTCACAACCTAACTGTTGCTCAAGTAAGGACCGCATCAAAGTCTTCTCTTTGTTCAATCAAGGTGCGTCTTAAGTCATCTATGCCAACTATAAAACTTACGGCTGTTTTAATCGAATGGGAATAATATTTAGGTTCCCTTAGTCTGTCTGGTGGCAGGAATCATACCCAGTAATGCAAGATCTTATGTATGTCATTCTAAAGCTTATTTTATCACAAGGCTTCCAGTTATTTCGCACAGATAAATGTAGATAGTATGATTCCAATGCTTTATTACAACGAACCCAAAGGGACAAATTTGACGAAGTTTCAGTTATCGAACAACACCCTATCACGCGCCATGCTTTTTAATGGTTATATATTGGAATAGCACCTTCAATGCGAATATATTTTTTGCTGCTAATATGATATTTCCGTCAAAATCTTTAGCCGTGCTTGCTCATGTCAGTTATACAAACAATTCTATTTGTATTGTTCAGTGAGAGCACCCTAATTGAGCAAGCATTGTTCATAGAATAATATTGCCTAAACCAATGTCCTGGTTATAATCTGCTTTATGAGCATGCTATTCAATTTGAGTATTGAGGCTTACATGAAGTGAGATTGCATACTTTGAGCTCTATGTAATTTGTCTGATTAGGCGTGCACTTGTGTTTCCTCAAGCAGGACTACCGCAACACAGCTTTGACGATGAAGTTTTGCTCAGCAATCTTGATTCTCGCCTTGGCAGCAGGTACGTGAAACTGTCTAATCGTATTTATGAGAAAAGTGCATAGTGCACAGTGCACTTCATAATAAGCCCCCTCCCCGAAGCTCTCTAAACTTGTGAAGGGTGTGATTTCGTAACAGCTAAAAAAATCTTAACTGTTTTCACAAAATACACGAATTATAACTTCGCTGCAAACGACTACATGGATTCATGTTCTGTGGTTTCTAATACATTCTTGAATACGAAGGAATACTTAGAACGAAGACAGCCTTTCTTGCTATCATGACAGCGTTTGTTACTAAGAGTGTGAGGTTGTCTTCGACATGAGAAATAATTCTTGAGTGCCCTACAAATGAGTGGTCCTTTTGATTATTCGCCACAAGAAGACAACCGTTAAGGTTGGCATGAAAGTGCTGTGAGCTCTGTGTAATATTATCATTGCCTATTAGAACTTACATTATATCGAATTGATCCAGATAATCCTATGCAGAGGGCTTCGGAATATTGAGTGTTTTTAGTTTAACTGATGGTTATCGCTATATTTTTTCATCATGCGTGGCACTTAAATTACGCAATTTGTTGTCGCTGTAACACCATTGATGTAACAACATTCATGCGTACCTGCAGCTCTCTTTGCGGTCGTCACTGCTGTGGAAGAGAGAACAGGAGGAGGAGGTGGTGGTGGTAGTGGAGGTGAGGAAGAGAATTTTCGTTTTGGGCATCATGAATCGAATGTTGTGGTTAGTCAAATCCTGGTACTGTGAGCGAGCGTTTCTTCTTCGACCTCTGTAAACCACGTTTCTCTAGAGACAGTCCTTAGTGCTCAAAAATATAAGGCTACCCTTTGATGTGTAGTGAACCCATCTTTAAATTAGCAGCAGCTTCTAAGTACACTTATGGGTGGTATTTTAAAGACTATATATCTACTACTCTCGTCCGCCGAAGTGCCATGGTTAAACTATGCATAGTTTAGAAAGTTACGTAAACTGTTCATAAAATAATAGTTGAACAGTTTATGAAAGTTAGACAGGTAAGCATGTTTCTCAGATTACTTCATCAGTTATTTACTGACAAAAAGCTTAGCATATTTAAGGTCCCTTATACTGACTTGATGGGATGTCTATTTGCTTCGTTCGAAGCGACTAAATATGTGGGCCCTTATGTTTCACTTTACTGTACTGTGTTGAACGCCCTAAAAAACTTTATGCTCATTCTTGTGTAGGAACTGGCAGCGGATGCCCGGATGCCGAAGCATGCACCAAAAGCTGCACCAAGCAGGGCTACAGCATTGGAATCTGCCTTGCACCTCTACTTACCGTCTGCGCGTGCTTGTAATATTGAGCCAACCAGATCACTGAGTGGCAATAAAATTTTTCGGCGTAGACGAAAACAGTGCAGTGGTTTTGTTGAATGGTAGTCATTTTACGTGTGGGAAACAGTCAAAGTGACTTGGTGATTTACCTTCTACTAGTCACCAGCTCAGCTTGTTTGGCGGTGGCTGGATTCATTGAAGCGAACCATACTACGTGTTCTGGTGGTGCCTCGACTAGTGCGCTAATTTAGACAAGATGTTTGGCAACCGCAGGGTTATTTGGTTCACGCTCACTCCTTGACTAGTCGGGATGTAACCCTGGTGAGGCAGTGCCGAAATTCTGTTACCGCTGAACATGCCATTCATGAATACTTACAAGGCAAGTAAGGGCCTCCCACCTGCGTGGCATTCGGTGGCTTCCCGGATATCGCCCTCGTTTTATGGGATTGTCCACTTGGCCTTGGAGCCAAACAATGGGAGCCTTGGACGCATACTTGCCAGCGGTTCTAGAAGACTGACTGGTGGACCACGCCCAAGGTATCATATTGGCGCGCTCGGACATCTCAAATTTCTGCGCCAGATGGTGGCTTGGCGTTGCTTCTTTTAGTGGATTCTAAGTGGGGTTTGTTTTCCGTTAATGTCACTAGGTAGATAGTATAGATAGATTGTTTAGACACATAAAGTTGCTGCTTTTTGTTTCAGTCAATTATACTTGCGGGAACCGTATCATCTTGAGAAACACGGTTCAGAAAACACCCAAAGTTTCGTACATTGGCATCGTTATCCCAGCGCCTTGCTCATTAAAGTATACGATGCGTTATTTTATGCTTGCTAAATACAGATAACTATAAATGTCTTGTGATAAATATTGCGATATAGGTACACAATACCCAAAGAGCATTGAAGGGTTCGCAAAATATGCGAAATTCATATTTTGCACACTATGCAAAATAAATGTGTCTTGCATAGTGCTTAGCGTTGCCACCAGAAATGTCAGTGTTTTTAACTCCTCTTGAAAATCACCGAATGCAAGTTTCCTGAACAGGAACAAGCGCATCTCCTGGCAATGGAATATATAACAAGTGACTTAATTAAACCGATAATAGCATAAACGATATATTGAAGCGCACGCTTTTCTCCTTTTTATTGGTGTTATTGTGACTGGGCTTCCCCCAAACTTACATGTTACTAGAGCTGCGTGCATGCGGCACAAGAAGAGTTCCGATTCCAATTTTACTGAAGCATACTGAAACTTTCAACCAAAATATACCCATTTTACTGGTGTATACTGAACAATTTAAATAAATATACGGGTAGTCTAGTTTGTTATGTTGCAAGCATGATTCCAATAGGTAACAATGGGGCCGTTTTTTGAGTCATGTATAAAAGATGACCCATTCTTCCGAACATTAAATTACTGACGGCCGACGACCACGCACGCGGCTATCAAAGTGCAGGACTCTTTGCCCTAGTTTTTCATATTCGGTTGCGAGCCAGCTTATTGTTTCGTCACTATACCATCGACAGTGAAGCTTTTTTTTTAATTCACTGCAAATGACAGCTGGTGGCAGCAGTGCTGGCTCGTAGATGTTGTAGGCTTCATTGCGGAACTGAGAATTATTTCCAAGTCATTAAGAAGAAAGACTCTAAGGGACATGTAGGAAGATAGCCGCGGGAAACAATACCTACCGTCAAAATACGGACTACTGCTTGACAGGCCAAAGTTGCCTCGACAAGTAAGAACACCAAGACGATGGTCACTGAGCCTCCTACAGCAGCAGCAGTGCTTCAACCCTGGCACCCGTCCACTTCACGCACACTATCTTCACCTGCGGAAACCTGGTTCAGAAAAAACGATTCGTTTGCTCTATTCGAGTGATGAAACTATGACAAGAAGTTTCGCTACGTATATTTCACCCTAAAATATGCCGTCATAACCTGTTTACCTGAGAGGCCAGTGTGATAACTAAGTGTCTTCTCCTGGACAGCACCAGTAGATTAGTTAATACAGAATGGCTGAAATCATGCTGGAAAACTATAGACGGCTCTACAACTTGAACACCAGGAAGTTCTGCAAAAATATGCCCTTGGTGGTCTCGTCATTTTTTAGGAAAAGGTGATTCCGGACAGATTCAGGTTTGCTACGTCTATTTCGCCCATGAGTAGGTCGTCATTACCTGTTTACCTGAGAGGCCACGGTGATTACTTGGGGACTTCATATGTTCCTTTTTGGGTTGTACTTTGGGTTTTAGTTTCCAAAATTATTCGGTTCTAGTGCTGGTTCAGTGCAGGAACACGTACCTGAAAGGTGCGCTCTAGAAAATAAAACATTCCCGAAGCGACCAGTGATCACTGACAAAACGCCATGTTGAACCTGCAGTCGCCTGCAGCGACGGCAGGAGTGAGATGGTCAGAGCTATCGTACGGGAAGAGCCATGTAGGCTGCTTTCTGAATAGAAGCATTAAGTACAACCATACGCTGACATTGTCCGCGTGGTAGTTTGGTATACTCATGAATTTACCCACGTCATCATGAGTCAAAACCACGTCGCGTGATCTCGAAACCATGACCTACACCGACCCACGTCATCAGAACCTCAAAACCACGACCTACACCGATGCATTTTTGTTTATTTTTATAACATAAACTTTCCAGCCAAGTTATAGTCCAAAAGTAAAAGTTAAAGACAGAGAACTGATCCGACGGTTAGAGACCGATTCGGTCTCTTTTTCAGGGGTTACTATTCGGCCGTGTCTGAAGCTCGCGATTTTTTTTTTGCCGTGTCGCCCTCTCCATCGTCCTTCTTTCCACCGTTGTGGTTGCTGCGGCAATTTTTGAACTTGTTATGTAGACAACCCACGTGTACACTGGGTAAGATTCTATTTTAGCAGTTAACACTTTTTGCAAAAAGGAAGGTATTGCTGTACTGGCAATTTTGATGTGCCAGTACAGCAATACCTTCCTTTTTGTGCGACTACGCTCCGTGTTGATGACCCGGGTGTCGTCGAAATTGATACGATGGTCCATCTTTTCGCTTGTTTCAGCGAAAGTTTTTCGTGCCGCGTTGAGGTTACGCACATCGTTTTGATGTTGTCGTATCCTTTCGGTGAAATTTCGTGTCTCACTGATGTAGGTGGTGGAAGACTTTATGCTTAGAATTTCGCAGACCAGCCCAGGGAACCTTTCTTTCGACAGTCGGTCTTTTGGACGAGGCAAGAATCTCGCGGTAGTTGAGATGGTTTTGTGCGCTACCTTAATGTCTCCTTTCCCTAGTGCCCTGGACAGTTGCTCGCTGATTCCTGGCACGTGTAAAACAAAGACGTGGTAGGGATGTTTCGGATAGACCTCCTTGGTGAGGTCATTCTTCACAAAAGGCAGGTGGAGGACAGGTTCACGGCCGCCAAGTCACTGGCACACTCGACGAATAAAGTTTTTCGGGCACCCATTGTCCAACAGCTCGGCGGTGATCACTCATTCTTCTCATTTTCACATTCTTTGGAGCTGCAGATGACCCCATGCGCGATTCAGAAGTGCCTTGATCACTGATGTCTTGTGTGCGGTGGAGTGGTTAGAAGTGAACTGCAGATACCGTCTGATGTGCGTAGGTTTTGTTACACAGAGAAGCTCGAACGCCCATCCCTACCCCCCGCCTTTTGCCTTTTTACTAGCACATACAGGAAAGAAAGAGCGTCATTTTTTTCACGTTCAACGGTCAAATTAATCACCGGCTTGATAATTTATATGTGGGTTATAGAAAGTTTCTATGTTAGCGTGGTGGCTTGCATTATCTCTGGTATAAGCTCAACAACCTATGTGATGTGCGGCATGTTGTCAGAATATTACAATGAAGCTACGAACTTCGAACTTCAAGAAGGTCCTACATGCATTGCTGCACTACATTCGTGTTGCACAGGCGACAGATTTTTTTTTAAAATGCGGAACACGTTACGGACCGGGGCTGTTTATGCGGTTTTCATCTCTTGTAACGCTTGCAAATCCTATTGATAAAAAATCTCGTACATAGGACTTATGCGCAGAACGTGCACGTGAGAGTATTGGATACGCAGCAGCGTGCGCGTTGTATTCCGATACGCACCTGCGTATGCCTCGCATATTGGCACGGGCCACGTACATCCTCATGCGCAGGAACAAGTCTCATAACCCCTCGTATATATGCACGAGGGGTTACGTAAAGCAGAACGGGTACCTAATGCACCGCCTCACAGAACTAAAACTTGATATCCCACAAAAGCTGATAAGCGGGCCGTTTGGCATGACGCCCTGTCTTAAGTTTGACTACAGCGAAGTAATTTCTGCAGTTCTATAAGCAAAAACACCTGTTCAATCGAAAGGAATGCCTTAGTGGAAGGCTTCTGGCTTA